TCTCTCTCTCTCTCTCTCTCTCTCTCTCTCTCTCTCTCTCTCTCTTCTGATGGAAAAAATTATTATCCTTAGTCTCTGATGCCGATTTTTTCTCGACAATCGACTTCAATTTCAAATATAAATTTGTATTCCTTTCCAATTTTAATTTGAGACAGAAATTTTGTCAAGATCTCTTTTGTCAAGAAATTAAAGTAAGTTTGAAATTAATTACTATTCATGTAAAACATAAACATTAACACACATTTGTATGATTAAAAGTCTAACAATAAGAAAAAAATGCTTCTTTCTTCCCGAGAGAGTATAAGCTATCGTAAAAAGTAAAGAAATGTAAATAAGTAGGTACTTAATCACGGATTTATCCGATTGTACTTTGTTAATAAATAACGACTCGCGTCTCGCGCTATAGATTATTCCTATATTATTCTTCGAGAAATCTTTTTTGAAAAATAACTTTTTTTTATAGAGCAAATCTTTTCTCGTTTTCTCTTTCCTATAACTTTTTCGCTATCGATGATAACACAGCTACGTTAATAAAGTGAAATCGAACTTCTCTTCAAGAACTGAATGCAAATTACTGCTTCCGTTAATCGCTCGATAAATTAGCCTACTTTAACGTAAGAATGCGACGAGATGGCGGCCATTTCTCGTTGAAATATTGACCTTTCAAAGGCTAACTTATCCATTGACTTAACGAATGTGCAGGCATTAATCAGACGTCTTTGCAGGCATAGCGAGGTAAGGCAAGGCCAAATGTTCCGCCTCCTTGAAAGCTTTCAAGAGAATCGAAGAACCGAGAAGCGAGAAGTGGTTGCGGTATCACAATAGCGTAAAATAGAACGAAGCATCACTGGGAAAACCGACCCTTTTATCGTGCCTTTCCGCTTCGTAGGGTCTTTACGTCACATTTATTCAAATACTGAACGAATGATTTCATACTTCAACTTCAATATCATGAAGATGCTATAAAGTAAGATTTATATGTATAGCGTTATTATATTATAGCGCTTATATACTTTTTATCTCTGATATTAGTTCTTTAATCCATATTTCAATTCATTATAACGCTCTGTTTTCTAGGTTCTTATTTGCCCGTTTTTTTCTTTAGTTGAAATATTTAAGTATTTGATTTAAATACAACGTGTGTTTGATTTAAATACTTAAATATTTCACTAAAGAAATGATAACCAACTAAACGCATTTAGAGTCAAGTTAACACCTTTTTTTCTCTCTAGGGGAGAAAAAAGATTGTATAAACGATTAGTGCAATTGAAAAATTTGTAGATACATTAGCTACACTACACTAGTAACATGTAGTTTGCAGAATTTACAAATAAAAATGCCTATTTGAAACAGATAATGATATGATAACGGCTTCTACGAGCAATATTTGGGTGTTCAATTTTATTTTTTCGTATTATTTTCATTTACAAAATTTACAAATCTTTGTGGGATGTTTCGACACTGACTTGTGTCTTTTCAGCTACCGAAAAATCTTACATAAATAAGTGGTTACATGGAGCAAGTCTATTCATACCTCCGGGCGTGTTCGCAAGGCGCAAATGTTAATGTCTATCACCATCCCTTTTGTTTTACCAAGGTTTACGTCCCACAAAGATTTGTAAATTTTATAAATGAAAATAATACAAAAAAAATAAAATTGAACACCCAAATATTGCTCGTAGAGGCCGTTATCATATCATTATTTGTTTAAATTCAACGAGCATAATTTCTTTAATTTGTTTGAAACAGACCTACAGAACTTGGAAGCGTGCCAAAATATTCGAGAACATATTTCATTTCTTCTGGATAAGCAGAGTAAGTAGTTATTACGGTTTTACTTTTTAAGAGAATTGATTTCATAATCTCAACCGAAAGATTACACAAGAGAGATCGCGATTATAATTCGCTTTCTTTTACTCTCTAAAGCGGAATTGGTGAAATTTTTATACATAATAAAATTAAACGTGACAAAATTATCAAGTAGCATCATAAAATCTATTTCAACTACAAAATCTTAAAATTTTACTAGCTCCTAAATAATAATAAATATGTATAGTCTTTATAAATTTACAAAAACTTTTTTTTAACAGCATTTATATTTTCTTGCTTATATATTCGTTATATACTAAGGCCATACAAACATATAAATATAAATTACGTAGCCGTTATCGCAAATAATGCACAAGGCTGAATTGTGGAGGTTGCTGAGAATAAATGGCATTATCAGAGTGGTAACGCGGCTGTGTGCCAATCACAGGTATCGATCATCGGACAGATCTGTCAATCTCATATGGATGATCGCTGGACCGCAGCTACTATTATTCTATCTCTCTCTCTTTCTCTCTTTCTTTCTCTCTCATACGCCCGATTCCCTATTCGTTACGATATACGTACAAGATGATCCAAGTTATTGATTATAAAACCTAAAAATGTCTTTACATGAAATAAGAATAAAATCAAACATATAAAATAAATTTATATATGACTTTTTAATATATATGGCTTTATTTTAGAGAAAATTGGCTATGAAAATTGGACGATTAATAATATCCTGGTATTTTTTAAATTTGGATCATCTTTAACGATCTTGCATTATGCATCATCAAATTTGTCTCGAAATAATGACTATCAAAATATGTATAAAAATCTCTAACATTCTCTTAAAAAAAATTAAAAACGATCTTGATACTTTCACATATACACAACTTCTTAAATACTTATTATCTTATCTAAATTGTTTTATTAAAACTGTAAAATGTTAATAGTTGTCAAGACGAGTTCAATGACGTATATGATAGAATCTTTCTTTTTTTTTTTCATCGAAGAACCAAGTTTTAAAAAAGTGCAAGCATATTACTAATCTTCCAATTATCAAATTTATTCTTCAGGAAAACAAAGTTTTATAAACAAAAAAAATATTATTCTTATTGTTTATATATATATATATATATATATATATATATATATACACTTTCCTTATTTTTGTAAGCATAACGACTTTTCGATTGTACTATTGGTTACAGTAAACCTTATACATCGATATATTATACATATACGTGTATGTACACGTATAGGCCACGATGTGGTCAATATATCAAAAGACTTCGATCATTTGAGCGTATCACAAATTTACTTCTAGTTTAATTGGCCCCAATCGGTTAACCAAAACACCGCGTAGGCTTTCCGTATTCGCTCACGCAATATACCAAGAGAGCCACCAACGAATACTAATTATATGTGATTATTACTATTTCATTATGCTGCTAATATTAAAACATGATCGATTTCGCTATGTGTAACGATAAAATAAAGATTAAATATTATGATAATAGATTTTTCGAAAAAGAAATCGAATGTTATTTTAATAACGGCTTCTTTCGACAATTTAAAATCGTTTTTTATTGTAACACAAAAATATCAAAGCATTAATAATTTCCAAAATATAATTTTTTATGTAAAATAAACTTTAGCTAAGTCAGCATAAAATTACATTCTTCAACCGTAAAGCTGCAATTTATTTCAATAAAAATTTAATTTAAGGTTTTTTAAATTATAAATATAAATAACATAAAAATTAAAGTAAGAAATTATTTCCATTTTCCCTGAAAAAAAATCGATTCTAAAGTGATTAATAAATCTGTTATTAAATCAATATTTTTTTTTATCTTTTTAAAGCACTTTATAATATAAATAGTGAAAATATATATATTGTTATACGTGTGTGTTGCAACCTTTTTGCAAAATTAGTCTCTCCATAAAAAAAGTTTTTTTTTAATTTTTAAAGAATATCGAATTTTTATATAAGACCGAATTTCTCTTATTAAAAAAAAACCTAGGCTTTTTACAAAAAGTTAAATTTACAAAGAACTTTTTTGGATTTGTCTTTCTACAAAAAAAATCAGAGTAAAAAAAATTTTGCTGGCCGTTGGTAGTCTTTAGTGAACCTTAAACTATGAGAAAATAAGACTAATTGTTGAAAAAAATATTTGCTTACCAAGGATAACAAGGTTTTTAGAGAAGTCAAAATAATCGGTTTCGCCCTACTGGTTGGGTAAAATGGGTACCCATTTGAAAACATGTAAAACACCGTGCAATTACAAAATCTAGATTTATTTTAATCAAAATACAATACAAAGATGTATTCTATTGACAAAAATCACAAATAAAGATATCCTCTTGTTCTACATTGCTGCAGGACTTTCTTACTTAATTTTTTAACTTTAGGAATCTCAAAAAGCTTTTTTTTAGTGGTTTCTTTTTCTGAGTGGTAGTTTTCCAACTGCTTTTTGTAGGGAGACAAAATCAGGATAACAGTTTTTCCTCTTTTCATGAGGTGTGTAGATACCCGGTTTTACCCCAACACGAAGAAAATACCAAACACGGCGGCTATATATCCCTACATATAAAGTGATGATCAAAACTAATGCGATATACTTTCTAATATGTACAGAATGCAATGCTACATTTACCGAAGCAGATGCTCTGTGTAGAAAAAGTCTATAACAACTCGATTGTTGCACCGATATCGATCTTTCTTGGCCCGAAAATTTTAAACTTCTCTCAAAAAAGAAATATCGTGTGCACGTATGGGCACGGTTCATCTCAAAACAATGATGGCATCAATCTACAACTAATAACACGAGTTAGCCAAAGATAGTAAGTAATTTAATTAAATAATGCTATATAAATCGAGAAAACTTAAATAGAATATGACGGAACATGACAACAACTTTTATTTTTAATAAAATAGCCCCGAATTAATAGCTATTAGTATATATAAATTTCGAATTATAAAATATTATGACAGACTTTATATAAAAAGAGAATAAAATATTTTTTAACAACTAAAATTTCTCATCTTGATAACACCGGTTTATGTATTTCGAGACTTCGATTTGTCTCCATTATCATTTCGATTAATCACTGTCTTGGCGCGCTACAGTGACGTACGGTGCTTCATCAGAATAGTTACATAGCCGTCATGTCAATGATACTGGATGGATGTTAATTCGATATTGAAAAATCTATATCTGATTTGTTCTTGATTTACTTCTGCAACTTCGTAACAGCATCACAATTCAAGTATGAGAAACGATATCATCCATCTAGATTCTAAATACTTTCCTTTCGCCTTGAGTTTTATTAGAATAACATAAGCTTTGAGCACCCCTTTGAGCTATATACATACAAAATATTAATACAGTTGTAAGAACAAATAAATTAGATAAATCATTGCAATAAATAAATGATTAATAGATGATTGAATGATGTTTTTTTAGTCATACGAGTATATATTTTTTAAAGATTTGTGAAGCATTTTTTAAAAGATTTTATCAAAGTTCTCGAATTAGAGATCGTTATCGTTCGATCGTATTTACCTTCTAGAAAAACTGTCTCTGAATCTAAATCTTTCGTCTAAACAAAAATGAGATAAGGAAGCCAACGAAGCAGAATGACATTTTATAAAAGGAGCTGGTTTTCGATATTAGATAAAGCCGAGCTGAATTCAATGATGTATAACATATAGATAAAAAAACACTCATTCTTTCGAGGTCGGGATAACACGATCTTATAACACGCGATTTTATAATTGGAGGAAAAATCGATCTTATAACCAAAAGAGACACTGTATACATTGTATAAACAGATTCAATATTCTATGTCAAAAAAATATCAGTGACTTTGATATCTCATACAGAGAATTTCGTTAGTAACTTAAATTATTTTAAATTACTTAATTGATCTTCAAATGACTTTTGAAGAACGAGTAATTTCAAATTCAAATTGATATTATTACATAAATAGCTTAAAATTAAAGTGATTCTGCTGTTATATAATATAGTACATATGTTTAAAAGAGAAAAGACAATTGTACATGTTAACACTTACAATCAAATATACTGCAAATAAAATTTTGAAATCACAATAATTGTGTCAAAATAAGTTCGATTACTACAATTCTAATAAATGTTTTTGCGTCATACACGTACTGTGATAAACACAAAAAAAATCTCACAGCAGTTTGCCGGCCACGTACTTGCACCAGTATGTAGATACTATACGTTGCGGCATGCCCGTGGGCACTTAGGAGTCCAATTAAAAATGCTTTCGTCAGGGACCAGTAAAGACAAAAGAAACTTTTTAAATAACTCAGAGATCCTCTACGTTCTCACACAGAGCAACTTGTATTGCAACAAATCACAAGAACGATAAAGGTGAAAAAGCTAGATCACGCGCTGCTTTGTATTCGCTTTACAGTACTTCAGTACCGTAATTTACCCCAAAAGAATCTGTATTTAAGTAATCCGCGATATTCATGCATTGTTACTTCCAATCTTATGCTCCATGATTAAATGGACATATTCATTTCACATTGTAATCTAATTTAACGTCATGTAATTATGATATATCGAGAGATAACGAGAGACAGAGAGAGAGAGAGAGAGAGAGAGCGCCATATTTTTGAAAACGTAAACGCGAATAATAATTATATTATACTAAATAAATAAAATAAATGATAATACACTATAAGAAATAAATATTTTGTGTTAATAATTTGCGCTAAATACATCGTAAAAACTTTTATTGTCGTGGAATGATGAAAGCTAAAGTTGATACATTTTTCTATATATGTATTCACATACGAGACATTCTAAAGATTTGCGATTAAATAGTATTGTACTAATAATTTATTGTTTTGAGTTTAACGTTTTTCTTTAGATTTACACAATATTACACGACTATTAACTATATATGTATACTTTCTGACATAAAGTATAAAACATCTCGCAAGATATGTATAAACTTTTCAATCGCATTTCAATAATTTTATACGCAGAATAGCGAAGAAAATCAATTTGTATTAGAAAAACATATAGTTTCATTTAAAGAGAAAAGACTGAAAACCCGGCAGAGCAGTACCTTGTTTGTCTTATGACAGAATCTCAAATTTAAAACTTTGAAATATAAGAAAGAGAACCATTTGTCACCATCTCTAATATTTGCCGAAATTTGCATTTTTTGAGACTCGATATATAATTATTCTGTACATATACAGAGATAATGAAATTATTAGTCCAGTTGCATATGCATGGACATTGCATACATTAATCAATGTTGTAAAAGAAATTACAACAAATATTCGCTTCATCTTTCGTGCGTTCCTCTCTTATCCGTTCGTGTATTTATGGAAGAATTTACTGACAATGAATCGTCTATCTGTAATTTTAATGTTCCGGATAGTTAGAGATTGTCTCGCAGGCGATCCCTCCGTACACACCGTGTATGTACAGAGCGGAAGTGCTACGGCTCATCCTTTTCACCCTCGGCGGTAACTAAAAGCTCGATTGGTTAATATCCTGATATCGTTCGGAACTT